ATCCTGACCCGTCCGTCCCAGTCGAGGACCCCCGAACGACCACGGTTCCCGTTATGAATTGGTGTTTGGATGGGGCTCCTTGACGGTCCCAGGCCCCGGTGGCCGGTGGCCGGTGGTGGGCTGGTGCATGCAGTTCTTCTTCCTTCAGGGGGCTCCACTCGGGTGACGGGGTCTTCTGCGTAAACTCTGAGCCTCTGGATCCTCAGTTTCTCGTGGTCTCAGTCCCGCATGGCTGATAATGATAATACAACAACGATATTGTTCCCCCGGTCCAGACACCAGGCAGCTTCAGATCTGACCTTAATTCTTCTAGACTCTTTGAGCCTGCGGTCCCTTCTTACTCGGACAAGAAACGGCCTTGTTATATTTCCTTCAACCCTCTTTTTGTTTCTCTTTCTTGTGAGGTGCATGTCACGAACTGGTCTCAATTGCTACCTAAGCACACGCACATACCTAACTTGGAGAGACAACCCCTTCTCATCCAATTAGCCTCTTTTAAAACATTCACATTAACCCACAGTACACGACGTGGTAGCGACATCATCCCCCCCACCACGCACCTTGGAAGAGGACGAAGGAAAAAAAAAAAAGTGAGAGACGCGCTACGTCTGCAGCAGCCAGCCAGCAAACTGCAGTCAGCAGCAACACCGCCGCCATCAACGTGCAACGACCAAAAGCACACAACCTTGAACCGTCAAGTCGAGCCAAGCACCAAACCCGCTGACGCCTGACGCCTCACCGTAAGGTACCGTCATCTGAATGTGCCTTACCTAACACAGCGAACACTCACCTTTTTTTTTCCTTACCAGAAAAAAAGAAGCGGTAACCTCTGCTGTCATTTAGAGCTTTCGCAGCATCCTCCGCGACCGAGACAATCGCACCCTTGCGCCGAAACCCAAGCCCGACCTATCGCGACAAGGGCTTCTTTGCCGGCCCATAGTTGGAATTGTTGTTGTCGGCTTTTTTCTTCTTTCCTCTCTCACACAATAGACTTCCTTTGCGAAAGCTTCTCCAACAGCTTTTGGCGATTGACTCAGGCTTCCCCCTCCTCCAGCCTGCCCTTTCAGCACTTTGGACATAGAGAGAGAGGTCCCCCCAGGCATCACGACCCAACGACCGACCCCGAACGTATATAGAACCACGAGATCCGTATCCTCATTTCACCATCCTTCTTTCAGTCACCGCGCTTTTCCACGCCCGACGACTTTCCGGCTTCTCGCAGACCGTGGGAGTTTTTTGCGCATGCGACAGGCGATTATCCGATTAGTCTGTACTATCCCGACCGGTCCATCCGCCACCGCTGCCGCTGCTCTTCGCTTCTCGACACCGCTGTGGAAAAGCAAAACGAGGAGGTGGTTTTCTCCTGGCTTGCTCTCGGCGACTACTGGTACACAGGCTGCCCACAGCTTTCAACCCGCAACCCACCAAACGCGGCCGCCGCGAAAAGATTCAAACGACCCTCACCGAAGCAGCCGACCCCCGCGTCAGCCTATCACGTCCGCCTCAAAGGCGCCGCATCAGCCGGCGACCTGGCCGATTGAGTTCTCCCAACGGGCCACACAACTCGTCTTCACCCGAACCAACAAACCCCCCAACGAAGGCGCATGCACATTCCCATGTCTTCGAACCCTCGAAAGCGACCAGCGCCAGGAACGATACCCACCATGCCGATGCCACAGGTCGGACAGTCATTTCCCAGTCCGCCCGGCGATCAGTTCTTGCGATGGGGAGGGGCAGCGGACGCTGCTACGGGCCTTGTGGACGGAACAGGGGCCCAGGCCGTCAACTCGTACGGCCTCGTCCCCGGTCAGCAGCAGCAACAGCAGCAGCAGACGCCGCAGCAATTCGTGCAGCCCACACCAAGCCCCAACAATGCCGTCGCGCGGAGGCAGATGAACAGAGCGCTCGTCCCGACAGGTGCGAGGCAAAACTTCGACTCGTCTAGCGACCCTTGGTCCTTTGTCGGCGAAGACTCTGCGCTCCTGCAGCAGCAACAAGCAAACGGAAACATGGCCGAGACCGACAACGTCGAAATCCTGGAGGAGATGGCTCGCAAAGCCATGAGGGAGGCGCAGCAGAAGCGGAAGCAGATTCCACCGTTTGTGCAGAAGCTGAGCAGGTAAGCTAGGTTCCCGTACCTCCAAAGTGACGAGAAGGCGTATTTTGTTGGCGGTAGGTTTTTTTTGTACCCATACTAATGATACACAGTTTCCTCGACGACGATAAGAATTCTGAGCTCATTCGGTGGTCGGAGAAGGGCGACTCATTTATCGTCCTCGACGAGGATGAATTCGCGAAGAAGCTAATTCCCGACCTGTTCAAGCACAACAACTATGCTTCCTTTGTACGACAGCTCAACATGTACGGCTTCCACAAGCGGGTCGGCTTGTCGGATAACTCGATGCGTGCAAGCGAACGGAAGAATAAGAGCCCAAGCGAGTACTCGAATCCCTTCTTCCGACGAGGGCACCCGAACCTGCTCTGGCTCATTAACAAACCAAAGAGCGGTAACAAGGGCAAAAAGGGCGCCAAGAATGCAGAAGTCGAGGGTGATAGCGAGGAGGATGCCGTCAACATTGACGACGGCGTGACGCAGGGCTTTAGTACCGCCAGTGCACCCGCCAGCAAAGCCCTGCCGCCATCGGGCGACATGCCGATACAGAAGAAGGAGATGACGTTGATTCGGGAAGAGTTGGCCAAGGTGCGCGAGCAGCAGAGGATGATCATGACGGCGATCCAGCGGATCCAGCAAGACAACACGGCGTTATATCAGCAGGCTGTCGTCTTCCAGAGCCAGCACGACCGTCATCAAAACTCCATCAACGCCATCCTGAACTTCTTGGCCAACGTGTTTAGAAAGACGCTCGAGGACCAAGCGGGCCCTCAGAGCGTAAACGACCTTCTCGCGAGCATCATCCCGAACGGCAACAGCTCCAGCTCGGTACCTCAGGGAAGCGTCGTGGATCTGGGCGACTACGTGCAAGCACAAACCTCGGCAGGAAACAACATCAATATCCCAAAGCGCCGGCAAGCGTTGCTGCCGCCCATTCCCAACGGTCGCGCGAATACGGTATCGCCGTCACCAGCTAGCGGCTCCGCGACGCCTCAGCCGTACAACCGCGAGATGGGCACCGTCACAGAACTGTTTGACACATCGCCCGGCGACCACACATCACCAACCAACTATCTAGCCCAAGAGCTCGAGTCGAATCCCCATGAGAGCATGATGAAGATCATCCACGACACAAATGCCAACAACTCATCCGGCATCGATCTCCCCCATGTCGTCAACAATACCCCCGCCACAATGAGCAACGACCAACGGAACAAGATGCTGAACGCCATGGCCGGTCGATCGTCCGCAACACCCTCAACCAACGCTCCGCAGTCCTCCAAGCCTTCAATGTCCGCCTCACCCAATCCGCCAGCTCCCTCCGTGACCGCTACTCCCGATACACCGCCGCCCATGCCCGCCGCCCCCGGTCTCTCCCTCTCGCCCATCATGGGCTCCGCCGCGCCGCCACCTTCACTACAGCAAATCAACTTCAACCAAGAGGACCTCGCCGCGCTACACCGCATGCAGGAGGAGCAAGCCGCGAAGCTGGACCACCTCTCCAGCATGCTCGGACCGCTCAGCCCTTCGGGTCGCATACCCGGCATCGACGAGAACGGCAACGTGAACGGCTACTTTGACGGCGACCTGGACATTGACCAGTTCCTGAACCCGGACGCGTTCCAGGGCGACAACGCGTACCCTGGCGTCAACTTCAACGGTGACGGGAACGACTTCAACTTTACCCTCGACGGCTCGGGTCCCCAAAACGGAGGGGGCAACAGCAACGTCAATGGCACACCGAGCTCCACCGGGACTGAAGAGGTTCCGCGGGATAGCTTCGATGGGATCACTGACAGCCCCGACCGCGGTAACAAACGCAGACGTGTGGGTTGATGATGGATGCATGACTTAAAGGGGGGTTACCCTCTTTTCACGACTTTCTTTTTAGCAGCACCATAGGTGGTGTAACGGTCTTGATCATCAAATTATCCGAGGATGAGAAGAATGCCGCAGAGGGCGTCTCTCTGTTCTTCTTCTTCTCTATGGAAGGCGGCGGTTTTCTTCGAAATAACTTGTGCGTGGACAAAAAAGAGCATGATATCCAAAAATTGCTTATTGCTTTCTCTGTCTCTCCCTCTCTCTTTTCCTTCTCTCTTTTCCCTCTCTCTTCCCCTATTTTGAATTGGGTTGGGAAATTAGGGACTGGGTGGGATGGGACGGGTGTGTGTTCTTTTGCTTCGGGGAAGGACTCGGGGGGTTCCCCCCATGATTTGAGGTCGCAAAGGTGGCAAAGTCTTTTGATTTTAGGAATTTGAAAGCTACGATTGAGCAAAATTCCTAGGATGGATGGGATGAGATGGGATGGTTCTTCTTTTTTGTAAGGTAGAATAGAAACTTCGCCGCTTACGGGTGTGGTGGTGATCTCAATGCTACTCTTGATGAACAAGTAAATAATTACCTTGACGTATGACGGTGGCAGGGTCGATTTACAGATGTTATGGTGAGGGTTGGCTCTTTACCGCCGTAGGGGGCAAGGGAAGCGGTTCTCATGATGTCCTTCCGATTTGCACCAGCGGCACTTGGGGTTCTCGTCGCATTCACAGAGTGTCTACCGCGTTCATACTTACCACAGATCTTATTAGACCTGTCAGATCCCATCCAGTATTGGTCTTGGCATTGCGGGCAAAGTGGTATTGAAGAACATGTGGTTGATCTTGTCTGCTCCGGATACCTCGGAGCTACCATCGGGGGCTTTACCCATTCCTTGGTACAACCTTTTTGATGCCTGGAAGGAGCTTGGATAGTCCCTTTGAACCGGGCTTCGGTGTCGGTCGCTCATTGTCCCTCGAACACGTGCGAGCGAGTAAGCAGTGTCGAGAGAAGTCTGTGATTGAAATGGCATCTGGTCATTGCCGACATATGGTTTTGCGCGAAGCCTTCACACATGGTCAAGCTTGCGGGAAACAATCTTGCCAGTCTCGATGGAACCGAGAATGGAATCTATCCCATCTACTCGTCAAATCCAAATTCAGAGACGGCATGGTCGAAGGCTCTTGGTGCTGCTGAGGCCTCTCCGGACAATGACTTGAGTCATACTGTCTTCTTCACATCGAAGACTTTCCCTATAGGGGAGCGTTACCCAAACTTCGCGGACTTCACCGACGTTCGAGGCTTGCTTGCCGGTGTCAGAGTCGAATCGATGGACAGAGACATTGACAAGAGCATCCTGAAGATCACGGGGGCGATCTGTGAGACCGGCACGACAGAAGTGGCGTTACGCGACACGGATCGCGCACAAGGTCCTCGACGGCTTTCCCGACATGGACAGGAAGCCGAGCGTCATCTTGACATCGGCCCATGCCATCACGAGACAATGGGTAGATGACATTGCCAGAATGCATCCTGGATGGATTATCATCACCGATCGTGGCGACACTTCAGACAACATCAAAGTCCTGAAGAAAAAAAAGGATGATTGGGTTGGCAATTGGCTGTCAATGCTTCAATGGGTGTGGTCCAAGCGGATAGATGACGAAGGCAACGACCCCCGCAGAGTCATCTTGATCATGCCCTACAGGTCGTGGGCGAGAAAGACTCTGGTGACCAAAGAAGAGAATGACAAAGTAACATACTCTTCGTCCTTCGCCTCGCAAAGCCGTGACTTTGAGGTCTTGATCTGCGATGAGGCTCATCGTCTCAAGGAGCGATCAACGGTATCGTTCAAGGCCGTGTCTCTGATCGCAGCGAGCAGAGTTCTACTCACCACCACGCCTTGTCTAAATGACCCCAAGGTGTATGTCTCCAATCTCCGCCATGTTTCACTCCAGCACACTGTCTAATCAGTAATTCATTTAGGATTATCTGGCACTTGCCGAAATCATTTGGACTTGCCGGCACCAAATCCTCGACCAAGAGGAGCGAGACTTCCTTCTCGAGTTGGAGAAGAAGGGTTATGGACAGTTCGCAAATACCGTCAAGTCCTTCTGTCAAGATGAGAACACTCACCGGACTCTGCGAAGTCTCGCTTCGAAGCCCGAGATAGTGAAGGCTTTGATTCACAACTCGACCGAGAAGCAGAGCTGGGAGGCTGGGTTCCATCATTTCAGCTCAGTTGCTATCCTGCGCCGATCAGCTAGCTCCGCAATCTTCCGAATGAAAGGCAAAGAACATCCCGTCAGCTTAACATCCGTTTTGCCTCAATTGAGACCATCGTCCGTCTCCATTGACTTCGAGACGGAACTCAAGTCCAAAATAGAATACAGCATGCTGTATTTGTATACGTAAGTTGCTCCTGACTGAATGTTTCTAGTGACCTGGACTGGTGCTGACCTGGTTCACCAGTGAATTGATTCTGGATCACGAGCAATGGGTGAAGCAAAATGGTTCCCAAAGCAAGATTCTACCTCCAACTAGCAGCCATTACTGGGATCTGGAACAAGTTGCAAGCAGTTGGCCGGCGTTTTAACTCAAAGTGAATACGCCCATGAAACGTTAAAGAGATTTTTTACAGAAAGGAATTTGAGGTCCGAAAGGGAAGCAGGTGTAAGCCAGTTCAAGACGAAATGAACAACTGACATCTAATCCACGCTTTATGTGCTCCAAGTAGGTACATACATCAGTAAACCCAAGCAAACACCCTTATGCCTATCTGACCAGTATCTCACATTCCTTTTCTTGCGTAACTGCTCTGTTTTCTAAGCTTGGCTCCCCTCTGCAATAGCTATTAGTCAAACGCGTTCATAGTATACACGACAGGGAAGGCATTGTAGAGAAAAGGGGTTCATCCTTACCATGTACAAGATATACGGCAAAGGCACAAACGCAACAGCGAAAATGGCCAGAATCATACTCGACCCAAGCACGTCGAACCGGTAATACATGGGCGGGATGAACAGCGGGAACGTAGCCCCGCACATGGCATTGAACAGCTCATTCCCAGCCAAGACGGAACTGACGTGATCCGGGTACGACTCGGCAAGGTAATTCAGAATCGAGATGTAGAGCAGCAACCCACCCGCCGTGAAAAGCGACGACCCGACAATGGGGACGAGGTAACTGATCTCGGGCCGCGCCGTCCACCCAAACCAGACCAAGCTGGCCGGGATGAAGAGGCAGCCGACCATGGCCGGGTGGAGGTGCTTCTCCGGCTCGATGTTGCCGTCGCGATCAAACTGCGGCTCGATGCGTTTGCGGTAGTACAGGAAGAACGGCGGGATGGTGAGCAGGACGCCGACGATGAGACCTAGCAGCGCGATGCCCTGTTTGCCGGTGCCAAAGTGATATACTTCCCCGTAGGCTGACGGCAGGGCCTCGAACCAGATGTACATCAGCCCGTAGGCGAAGGCACTATACAGGTTCAGAAAGAAGACGGCCGGCTCGGTGAGGACCAAGGTGAAGGGCCGGACAAGGTGTGCTTTAAAGACTTCCGTGCCGGCGGTGTAATCCGCGCGCAGCTGCGCCTCGCAGACGAAACCCGGGTCGCCCGTCACTTTCCGCAAACGCATGGCCCGTCGATACAAGATGTTATCGGCGCTCGTCTCTGGCAAGAAGAAGATGAGCACGACGAGAATCCAGGCGGCTAACCAAGACACGATCCAAGCGGACCAGGTCCAGCCCTTGAGCTCGACGGCGAAGCCGCCGACGATGGGCCCGAGAGTGGGACCGGAGATGCCAATGAGACAAAAAGAAGCCATGGCGTAGGTGTGTTTGCGGGAGACGAACATGTCGTCCAGGATGCCGGCGGCGGAGCCGAGGACGGGGGAGCCGAAGAAGCCCGCGAGGAAGCGGAAGCCGAGGAGCATGCCGATGGAGGTGGCGAGGGCGATGGGGATTTGGGCGAGGCCGAAGATTGTGAGGGCGGGTATGTAGATTTGGTTGCGGCCGATCTGGGGAATCTCGGAGAGGGGGCTCCAGACCATCTTTGCGTTCTTGTCAGTATAGGTAAGGTAGATGAGAATAAGGGGTAATCGAGTGTAGACTCACCGGTCCAAGACCGTAGCCCAGGACAAAGACTGTAAGTCCTAGGAGGGCGACGACCTCCGAAACGCCGAATTGCTGGCGGACGCCGTGGGTGCCGACGGTGTAGATTGATGCGCCTGCGTAGACGGCGATGACGAGGAGGCAGATGTGGAAGCTGACGATGGCTTTCTTCATGACGGACCAGTTTCTCGGGTTCTGTGGCATTGGACCCTTAGCTACGATGTCCAAAAGGTGAGAGTGAAAAAAGGGGGTTGCGATCTTTGTTACCTCTGGGTCGTTTGGCAAGAACTCGACGAGATGGAGACCTCTTCTATTCTCGATGCCATACTTTTCCCACGTCGTACGGCTGATTGTCTGATTGCCCAGAATCTCGCTATCTGACTTCTCAGAGTCTAGTGAAAATGCTCGAACTTCGGTGTGTCTTGAAGCGTGTGAGAGGCTTCAGTTGAAGATAGGCCGCGTGTTAGCATACCACCTTTGCTCTTACATGTGAACTTGTAACTCACCCTGAGCCTGACCGATCATAGCCATTTTCCGTGTATCTCTGACGAATCAAGGGGTGTCTCTCGTCAAAGTATTGGAACGCCGGATGCCTGGCCCTGGTGACGGCTCGTATGACGTGCCATGCCCAGGTGTCTCGAACGATCTCGTTGAAGGTCATGTTGTGGAGTTCGGATCCAGGGTTCGATTGGTGTGAACCTGGAACAAGACTCGTTTTCTAGGAATTCAACGACAGGTCGATCCTCTATATGAAAATAATGAGAGTGAACAGTAACGAATTCGAGTCGGTGGTCCGTCAAGTTTCAACTTTCTGAATTGTCGAGATGACCGTCATCGTCCTAAGCAACGAATAATGCAAGATTTCTTCTTTCTTGATAGTCCAAAGATTGTAGATGGCCGCGGGCTGCCGACACAAACGCACTGATTTTCGCCTCCTTGTCGAGAAGAAGTGAAGTTGTGGGAGCCGTTGGGAACTCGTTTCGCTGTCCTCCGGGGGGAGGCACACGGTCCCCCCTCTACTTGCCCGGATACGTTCAGCGTGAAACTTTGCAAACTGAGTTGCGCAAATGTGGTAAGTCGGAGAGGTGTGGCATGGCTGAGCGGTAGGGGCTGGACCCAAGGTAATGAACAATGCACTTCCTATAGCGGTCAATTGGTTCGAGCATCCTCCCAGACTTCCGGGCGGCGCGTTCCCGGCTCGAGTTCCCACTCATTTTTCGTCCCGTCCGGTCCCGCGGACTGGCCCACCTACCCGTATGGGGCCGTGTGCATCCCTCCCCCCGGCGACCATGGCCAGTACTTGGCCTGGGCCGGGATTGTTTCTATGCATTTGACGTCATTGAAACAAATTGATCTAATCATTGTACAGTTAGAGCGAGGAAGACATTGGCGGGGTGACTGTCGCTGAGCAGTGTATAGGTGTTCAACATATCAAGTAAGTAGGTATACCAGAAGCTCTCGAAACTATCTAGCAATCATGTTGCTCACTGTCAAGCTGAACTCGACATTCTTGGATATATTTCGCCATTATCTCAAATGCTGTACTTGATTTCGTGTTCTCAAGGTTGGTACAAGACAGGAAAGTCTCGTCGAGGCAAACAACCTTGTATCAACTGAAGTTGAAATCAAAGCGTTCGCAACAGAGTTATAAGTTGACTGTCACTCGTTAAGTGGGGGGCGGCTTTCATGCGCGCACCTACTGGTAAGTGCCTTGGTCGGCGGCAGCAGTTTGAGTCGGCACCCGGAGCTCAATGCACCGATGCCGGGGGGCCCAATGAAGTGGTCCACCACATAACTTTAAACATGCAGTCGCATACATCCAGCATGTATCCAGCTGGGAGCTAGCTTTGCGCCGTCAACAACACCAGACGACCACACAACAATTCGAGTTCGCGATCGAGACCACCAGACAAATCTCCAACATGTCCGTCACATTACATACGAATCTCGGCGACCTGAAGATCGAAGTCTTCTGCGAGAGCGTACCAAAAACAGCAGAGGTAAAAAGGACCCCTTCCCAATCATCCCAAGACTTTCCCTTCGAATCCCACCCGCGGCCGTTCACCCACCACCCTCAATCGTATCGCGCGACACTCTACCCAACGGACGACTAACCAACCCCCTCTCGCAGAACTTCCTCGCCCTCTGCGCATCACACTACTACGACGCCTCCCCCTTCCACCGCCTCATCCCAAAATTCATGGCCCAGACCGGCGGGCCGGCGCACCCGTCGCCCCCGGACAACCCAAAGGGCGGCCGCTCCATCTGGGGCGGCGTCTTCGAGGACGAGATCCGGCCGGCCCTCAAGCACGGCGCGCGCGGCGTCGTGTCCATGGCCAACAAGGGGCCCGGCACGAACGGCTCGCAGTTTTTTGTCCTGTTTGACAAGGCGCCGCACCTGGACGGGCTCAACACCGTCTTTGGGCGCATCATCGGGGACGATAGCACCGTCACGCTGGGCAAGATTGAGGCGGTCGAGGTGGATCGGAAGAACCGGCCCAAGGAGCCGGTCGTGATTGAGAGGGTTACTGTCCATGCGAATCCGCTTGCTGGGTGAGAATGGGGATGATCCGTTGGAGGTCGTGAGGGGCTATGAGGAAGGGAGGTTTCGTGGATGGCTTCGTGGGTGGGAGAAAGGATGGATGTGAGGGAAGAATTCCCTGAAATGCTATGATACCCGTACGTCAAAACGGTTCAAGACTGTCCTGACGGCACACAATGTTTAAATGAAAAGAAAGGCTTGCTTCATCTAACCCTTGCCCAACCGGCTGAGTGTAACTGTTGTATCCTACCAAGCAATGGTGTGGTGTTTCAAGCCATGTTCAAGCCGTGGGAGGCGTGAGGATGTGGAGAGGCCAGACCGTGGCCTTGGTACTTGCGAGTCTCCTGTGTTCGTCCGTGTCGCTCTGATCACGATGCCTCTAAGAGGTTCCCCTAGAGTCTCTATAATATCATTCTCCAAGAGGAGACTTTCGTCAATGATGTTGGAACTTGGCGCCCAAAGCGGTTGGTCTCCATGGCAAGGAAAGCGAGGCTTTCTCTCGAAACTTTGTAACTTCGTGCCCCATCTGATTCCAGGTAACAAGGGAAGACATCGGAACACAGCTTCTAGGGAGAAAAAAGGCCCCCATGAAAGCGCGAGAAGACGCGCTGGGTGCGAAAGCAATGTGTCTTCAAATCATAATGAATACAAACCGCTTTCAGCTTTCTGGCAGATCGGACCAGCCATACAAAACTCTCCGTTCAACTTAACTTAAACGTAATATAGGTTCCCTACCTATCTCATCACATCAAGCACCAATCCA